ACGTGTTGCATACTTGTATTTTCGTTCGTTTAAAATTTGCCGAACCATTATTCCAAAATTCTCCGGCGATAGTGAAACTCTATGACAGAAATATAAAAATGAAATCGTTTTGATAGAATATCGTATAGACTATAGATGATAGTTTCTTTTTTTTTTTTCTTTTCAACGAAGAGAGAGAGGAGGGAGGTTGTACGAGGTTGATAAGAGACAAACACGTGTTGGAAGTGTGGAAACTGAGCATGTGTGAAACATAATCTAGTTCGTATTTTCACTGTCCTTGAACGTTCAAGTACGTTACGCATTGCCGGCCTTTGATACGAATCAAAATGTTCTACGTATAAATCGTTTATAATTTAAATGATAATAACTGAAAGGAAGAAATTTGTAATTTATTCACGATTACGTTCGTCTCGCTGAAGTGAATATTAATTTTGACCAAAAAAAAATACTTTTTAAGCAGTTAAGCAAGTAAAAAGAACTCTATATTCTCTTTAATATAGTTCCATCGTTCCATTATTACATTCTATTTGTTTTCAGCCTCATTTGCAATATCAATTTTTCACATTGTTTGTTTTAGAATACCTTGAGATTATTATTTATTTACATTTGTACAGATTCACGTTAATTAGCACGAAATATCGCGAAACGTGATTACGTTCGTCTTGCTGAAGTGAATATTAATTTTGACAGAAAAAACAAAAATACTTTTTAAGCAAGTAAAAAGAACTCGCGCCGGTGTTAAATTAATATTCTCTTTAATATAGTTTTATCGTTCCATTATTACATTCTATTTGTTTTCAGCCTCATTTGCAATATCAATTTTTCACATTGTTTGTTCTAGAATACCTTGAGATTATTATTGATTTACATTTGTACAGATTCAGGTTAATTAGCTATTCACGAAATATCGCTAGAAACATTTCATTATGTATGTAATACTGCGCTGATGAGAACACAATAATGTTTCATTATTCGATTTACCAGACACGATCTGCATTTCCGTTGAGCGCGCGTCGCAGTACAATTGCGATTCACGCTAGTTGCAATGCAGTTATCACCGATAAACCTGCGTGACCAAAGAAATATTTTACTTTGTATGAAAACAGAAAAAAAAAAGAAGCGATAAACTAGCTGCAATCAGCTGCATGCTCTCACGGACATGAGAAATTTCATTCGTACGTCATTTATTTACTAGTTAGATATATTATGATATATATATATATATATATATATTATTAGATATATTATTTCGCGAGAAACCTAATTAGGGAGCCCATTGAAGAGAATTAACTTAAAATATCGTGTTAGCTTAAAATTCACGAGTAAAAAAATTAATGCAGGTTTTCTTTTAACTAAAAAAATAATTCTTGCAATGTTATTCTTGTCTTAATTATTATTATTATTATTATTCGACATCTTTCTTTTATCGTAGCTGACAAATGTCCCGTGATTAGTTTTTAAGCAGTATCTTAAGTAAGCTGATTTAGACTGAAGGCGTTTTTTAAGTCGACCATTGTGTTTTATCACGGTCCATTTAACGTCGCATGCCAATGCAAATTCATGCGTTTGTACGATCGGCTCGTTGATCGGATTCTTTTCGATACGCTTTTAATATCGTTTGTTTCCCCTGTTTCACGAAAGAAAGAAATGAAAGGAGAGGAGAAAAATTAAAAAAAAAAAAAAAAGAAAAGAAAAGAAAAGAAAATGCACAGTAAAAATTAACGTTGGACTACGAATGAATTTCATTTACCATTTGGACCGTTTTCAGAACGGCTGGCGTAACAGGGAACATAATGGTCAATTCAAAAGCTAGGAATCTCAATGAATTTCGAAGATTGTCAGCGTATATAATGCAAAACGACAATTTGCAGCCACTGTTGACCGTGCAGGAAGCAATGAACATCGCTGCCGAGCTAAAGCTTACCATAAGTTCTCAACAAAAGAAACAAAAGGTACACTCTCATTCGTCATACCACGCGTTCAAATCTGACTGTTCTTCTATGATATAATTGGCGAGTTGTTTGTTCTAAGTCCCAGTGTTCAAAGTAATTGAAAGATTACGTTCGTTCAAGTGATTTCATTGTCTACAGCCTGTTTATAATGACCTGCTTCTTCAAAGTCGTTTTCTTAAATTAAATTCAGTTCCTTTTGTTAAGCAATTAATTCCCTCCTTCGCTTTGATCCGCGAGAAAGCAGTGCGATTTCCTGTTTCTATTCTAAGAAAATTTGTCTCCAAAGAATAAATAATTATTATTAAACAAATTATACAAATTAATTCAGCCATTGAAAATGAATGTAAAAACTTTACTTTTCGATGACCAGATTCATAATTTAGTTTAATTAATAATAATAATAATCCTAAACTACCCTCGCATACTATAAATATTAAAAATATAAAAAATAATCATAATCTATATATATATAATTATAAATAAAATCTTAAATAATAAAAACTTTTTACAAATATAATTATAAAAATAATAATAATAGTAATTAATTCTTTAATTATAATATATATATATATTGTTAGTTATATAATTATATATTATATTAAACATTAGTTTAGAAAATTAATGTTTTATTAAACTATGTATATATTTATTAAATTATATAATTATATGTAATTCTCAAGAAATTATACAAAATTAATTCAATCATTGAAAATAAATTTAAAAACTTTATTTTTCGATGACCAGATTCATAATTTATTCTAATTAATAATAGTAATCCCAAAATACCCTCGCATACTATAAATATTAAAAATATTAAAAATAATCATAATCTATATATGTATATATATAATAATAAATAAAATCTTAAATAAAAACTTTTTACAAATATAATTATAAAAATAATAATAATAGTAATTAATTCTTTAATTATAATATATATATTGTTAGTTACATAATTATATATTATATTAAACTTTAATTTAGAAAATTAATGTTTTATTAAACTATGTAACTATATAATTATCTGTAATTCTCAATATTATTATTTTATTTAAACTGTTTTTCGAAATAATGAAAATTTTTGTATTTTATCGTATTGTAATAATAAATTCAGTTCATAATTTCAATCGGCCAGCTGAAATTTGATAATACGAAACTGCCTGTAATCTTTCATTAATCATTTCATACCTTCGTTGTTCGAGTTATTCGACGAAATAGCGCGAAACGAATAGCGAAAAATATAATAGAAAAACACGTTTCCTTGGCGTTATTGTACTTGTACTATTATACTTTCAGATTGATCAGATTTTGACTACAATGAGTTTGGACACATGTCGCTACACACGTACCGGGAAACTCAGCGGCGGGGAAAGGAAAAGACTGGCTATTGCCTTAGAACTAATCAACAGTCCACCGATTTTATTCCTTGACGAACCCACTAGGTATACACGAGTGTATATACTTTATTAGTTTCATTATGAATTATAACATATTATGAGTTATTTATTTCATATTATCAGCTTCACTCTGAATTATAATATACACGAAATTTCATTGTGAATTATAATTTATACAATCGTGCAGTATAATGTACTCGACTATAATTTAACATGATACGATATTAATTGCAGTGGACTTGACAGCGTGACCTCGAAATATTGTATAACATTGTTAAAGCAATTGGCAAAATCGGGACAAACAGTGATTTGTTCGATACACCAGCCTAGCGCCTCGTTGTTGAACATGATCGATCACCTTTACGTGGTGGCGGACGGGAACTGCGTGTACAGCGGTAGCACGCAGAATTTAGTGCCCTATTTGAGCAGTCTCGGTTTGCAATGTCCGACGCATTACAACCCAGCCGACTATTGTAAGTAAATGCTCGTAAGTAAATGGAAATTGGACATACTTGAACGTACGTTGCATCCTGCCCATAGTAATCTCCGTGAATGAAGAGCCATTGAGTGTGATGATAATTCGCATGCACGAGAAACTAGTGTAGAAAGACAAGAAACTGTGAAAAATACGACGAACAAAGATATATTAATATTTTTCAAATCGAATTGAAAAAGATACAAAGATATATTAATATTTTTCAAATCGAATTGAAAAAGATACAAAGATATATTAATATTAGACGTTACAAAGATATATTAATATTTTTCAAATCGAATTGAAAAAGATACAAAGATATATTAATGTTTTTTTCAAATCGAATTGAGTTACAAAGATATATCAATATTTTTCAAAGATATATTAATATTAGACGTTACAAAGATACATTAATGTTTTTCAAATCGAATTGAAAAAGATACAAAGATATATTAATATTTTTCAAATCGAATTGAGTTACAAAGATATATTAATATTAGACGTTACAAAGATATGTTAATATTTTTCAAAGATATATTAATATTAGACGTTACAAAAATATATTAATATTTTTCAAAGATATATTAATATTAGACGTTACAAAGATATATTAATATTTTTCAAATCGAATTGAAAAAGGTACAAAGATATATTAATATTTTTCAAATCGAATTGAAAAAGATACAAAGATATATTAATATTTTTCAAAGATATATTAATATTAGACATTACAAAGATATATTAATATTTTTCAAATCGAATTGAGTTACAAAGATATATTAATATTTTTCAAAGATATATTAATATTAGGCGTTACAAAGATATATTAATGTTTTTTTCAAATCGAATTGAAAAAAGAAAAAAAAAAGAAACGGCTTGAATGTGTTTAAGGGAAGACTTCTCTTTTTTATAGTAATGGAAATCTGTAACGGGGATTACGGCAAGCACTTGCCGGAGATGGTAAATGCTATAGAGAATGGGAAAAATAACGCATGGAGGTCAACCAGTAATGTAACCAACGTCAATCACCAGGAGGAAGTGATCGCTTTGAATGTGACAGCATCGTTCCAAGCACTTCGGCAACGATCACCGTTGGAGATACAGCACGTTCGCAGCAGGCACAAGGGATCTGCCGAGTATGCCACTGGCTTTTGGAAGCAACTAGTCATTCTGCTTAAAAGAAATGCTATTAGACTCTCTAGAGATAAGGTAACGAACAGTTATCGCCCTTAGGATGGATTCACGCTGAAGTGAATCTTTACGTTTCATTCTATTGCTTAAGTGTGATTCGAAGGTAAATAACTGAAAAATTCAACGATCTCGCGCCTAATTAACTAGCACTGTGTGTGAACGCTATGATAATAAATATATAATCGCGTTTATTGTTATTTACAAAAGGAAGAGAGAAAGTTGTAGCTCAGCTGTAAAGTTACCTACTAAAGTTGAAAAGCGAGGCGAGTATTATTAATAAATTTATTTGCCTCTGTTGGTTCTTATATTTGTAATACGAAGTCGCGTATACGAATAAAAATAGATACGCGACTGGTCGGTGACGTCTTCGTACATTTGACACGGAAATGTGCAATAATAATAAAATCAGTCTCGTGCGTGAGATCATAAAGTCATGAACTGCCGTGATGACGTCTATTAGATGATAAGACCTGCAAAAGGATCCATTGTAACGTTATTTTTCTTCTCTTCGTCTTCGCATCGTGCGAGTGAAATTTAATTGCACAGTTCAGTCGGAGCGTTAAATTAGCAAATTGAATCATTAAAATTATCACCAACGTATTAAGAAATTTCTCGAATCGTCGAAGTGAGCAGGCAAAATGTTTGAGAGATCTAACACACTTGGTTAGCTTATAATCAATAACATCTGCGGTTGACAAAACCGCAGAAATAATCGACCTTGGTCAAGGTATGATATTTCAGACACCTTAGCCACGTGGTAACGTATTTATAACAAAATGAAGACAAGTATTAAAATTCTAGACAGGCATTGAAATATTTTCTCCCTTTCTTTTGATTTTATGGTTTTTCTTTCTTTCTTTCTTTCTTCTTTTTTTTTTTTTGCAGGTATTAACATTCACACGGCTCTCGATGCATTTCATAATTGCCATAGTCGTTGGCATGATCTACTTCAAAGTCGGCCAGGATGCTGTCTACGTGCTCGACAACTTTAATCTTCTTTTCTTCAACATAATGTTTCTTATGTTCAGTGCCTTCAGTGCCACAGTGACTACGTGTAAGCCAACAGCGTTTCATCTTCGTGTTGCTTCTTTTTATTCTATATTTTTAACAAATGAAATTGAACACAACCGTGTTTTCTTATGTTGACAGTCCCCTCGGAGTTGCCGATCATCATGCGTGAACATTTCAATCGCTGGTACAAGTTACACTCGTTTTACTTGGCCAACAAAATAGCCGACTTCCCTATTCAATTCATAGCCATTTGCTTGTACATCCTCATCGTGTATTACATGAGCGATCAGCTGCTGGAACTTCAACGATTTTGTCTCTACACGCTGATGTGCTTTGCCGTTAGTATGGTTGCTCAAACGTTCGGCCTCTTAATTGGGACAGGAATGAAAGTGCAGGTTTGCGATTTGGAAATTCTTATTTGCCAATAAGTCACGTTGCATTCTTATTTTATTCGTATCGTACGTTCCAGCATGGCATGATCTTTGGACCACTCACGATTCTTCCGTTTCTGATATTCAGCGGATTCTTTGTTCAATTCAGAGACGCTCATCCTTACTTGCGATGGTTGTTCCATTTGTCATTTCTCAAATATGGTTTCGAGGGTGTGATGATCGCTATTTACGGGTAAATAGAAATAGCCTAACGTCACTCTCAGCGTGATTCGCGGTGAATTGTGAAAATTCGCTCCATAATTGTCAATACAGTAATATTTCGCAATTGCAGATACGACAGGCCGAAGCTTTTCTGTTCAGATGTTTATTGTCACTTTGCCATACCGGAGACGCTGTTAAATGCCGTAGACATGAAACAAGCTAATTACTGGTTCTGTTTGATCGTGCTGGCCGCCTTGTACGTCATGCTGGACATTGGAACGTTCACGCTGCTGAAGTACAAATTAGAGAAACGCATATGAAAAGTAAAAGCACGAGAATCGAAAATCCAGAAAGGAAATTTTGATAAGATACTTTCTACGATCGTGTTGTGTTCAGTGTAAATAGAACGATACGAATGAACTGTTTTAATTAAAGACTGACGTTTGTTTTCGAAGCCTCTGCGTAAAGAAGAAACGAGAAAGAAAAAGAAAATGATCAAAAAAAGCGTGATTACCGAAGAGAGATGAAATTATATTTGCATTTAATTGTTATTTTATTACAGAGAAAGGGGAAAACAGGCGGCGAACGATGTTGCCTGTACAGTACGACGTTGTACAAACGATTTGTATCAAAGTAGAAATATAAATCCTGTTATCTTGAGATAGTAAATCTTAGGGACCTCGAACGATAACAAATTTCATGTACAAATGATGTTCGCGCAGAACGTATCGAGGTATGATTAAATATATTATTTGTACATTCCACGTTTATATTTCTATAAATCGACGATGCACGCGCCTACGTTAAACTTCCACAAATTGAAGGTATTGACAGCAGTTTATATAAAAAGAAAGAAAAAAAAAAAAAAAAAAAGAACCAAATATGTTCATTGATTTTCAGTTCGTTTCGAATTTCGCTATTTGACT